TTATTGGACATGGTCCTCAGACTGATATATATTGTTCCCAGTGGTCCTGCTGTTGTGCCCTTTGTCTAGACGCATGCAGGGTGGACAAAATCTATGCTTCTTATCAGCATACACATAATGAGGCAGTGAAATGAGAATGCTTATGAGTTTGGGACAAAGCAGCAGGTGAGATGGAATTTCCAGGGGAAAACCATAATGCCAACATTTTCTACCCTTTTGCAGTATTGATCTGGCTTTTATAGTCACTTGGATTTATTGCCTACATATTTTTAAATGTATAGTATATCCTGCCTTAGTATCTCAGATCAGGGAAGATTAGACCTCCAAATAATAACCATCAACGTCAGTGAAAAATCAGCACACGTGACTATTTTTCATCTTGGTAGGATTTTGATCGGGGTCCAAATGTTATAAGAATGCTGCATGACTATCCTCAAAAGGGGTGTGGTTGTCTGGAACACTGAACAGAAACAATTCACACTGCAAAATTTTATTGCAGGTCTCACTTATACAAAATACTCACCTAAGAAGGGATCATTATTCTTGGTATAGGACCCAACTCCTAGGAGCCAGGGTCTCTTCAGCCCCCCATAAAATATTCAAGGGGCCCAGGTACCCACCCACCCCCTTTAATGGCCGTTGCCATTCAAATGGTGTGCGTGTGCCGTGTCATGTAATCAGTTATGTGGGGGCAGGGCTTACCGGCCCTCCAATATTTTTTTCAAGTTGATTCTTGGTAGTGACCTAGCCGCTCCCAATCTCAGTTGAGTCCAAGTCTGGATTTGCAAGTACTGCTACTTTCACAAACTATATATATATATTGTGCATGCCTCACAATTGAGAAAACTGTACCGCAACATCCAGAGAAGTGCCAGTTTCGAAGGATAGCTCTGCTTCATTTCACTTGGGAACTACGAATCAGGTAAAGGTAAAGGGACCCCTGACCATTAGGTCCAGTCGTGACCGACTCTGGGGTTGCGGTGCTCATCTCGCTTTATTGGCTGAGGGAGCCGGCGTACAGCTTCTGAGTCATGTGGCCAGCATGACTAAGCCGCTTCTGGCGAACCAGAGCAGCGCACGGAAATGCTGTTTACCTTCCCGCCAGAGCGGTACCTATTCATCTACTTGCACTTTGACATGCTTTCGAACTGCTAGGTTGGCAGGAGCAGGGACTGAGCAACGGGAGCTCACCCCGTCACAGGGATTTGAACCGCCGACCTTCTGATCGGCAAGTCCTAGGCTCTGTGGTTTAACCCACAATGCCACCTGCGTCCCTGCCTACAAATCAGGTAGGCCTACATAAAAATGAAAACTGAACAGGTTTCTCTCCCGTGTCCTTGCTTGTGTCCCCTGTGAAGTTGGCCACATGGTAAGGGGTAATGGCTGTATCCAACATTCTCCTTTCGCTAGTGCCGTGGGCTCTTGAGCTGCCAGATAGGCCAGTTTTAATGTTGTGCAGCTGGGGAATCAAGTGCAACTGTTGCAGTGGGGGGAGACTTGCTGCACAACAAATTGCACCCTCTGTTGTGCAACAAAGTTACTAGCAACCTGCTTGTGCATTCTCTTGTGCAACAATGTTCCACTGCAGCAAAACATTTCTCCAGCAAAGCAACAGTATTGCTACATGGTTTTAACTTGGTGGTGCATTGGCTACAACCCTAAGAACAAAAGAAAAGCCTGCTGGATCAGGCCAATGGCCCATCTAGTCCAGCATCCTGTTCTCACAGTGGCCACCCAGATGCCTCTTCTGGAAGCCCTTAAAAGGACCCGAGCACAAGAGCCCTCTCCCCTCTTATGGTTTTGAGCAACTGGCATTCAGAAGCAGTACAATGGTACCTTGGGTTAAGTACTTAATTCATTCTGGAGGTCCGTTCTTAACCTGAAACTGTTCTTAACCTGAAGCATCAGGCCACGCGATTTCTGTTCTCATCCTGAAGCAAAGTTCTTAACCCGAGGTACTATTTCTGGGTTAGCGGAGTCTGTAACCTGAAGCGTCTGTAACCTGAAGCATCTGTAACCTGAAGCGTCTGTAACCCAAGGTACCACTGTACTGCTTTTGACCATGTAGGCAGAGCATAGCCACCATGCCTAGTATCCATTGATGGGCTTCTCCTCAGTGAATTTGTCTAACCCGCTTTCAAACTCATCCAAGCCGGCGACCACCACTGGCTCCTGTGGTAGTGAGTTCCATTGTTTAACTATGTACTGCATGAAGAACAGCTTTCTTTTATCTGTCTTGAGACTTCTTCCATTGTTCAGCTTTGTCGCATGTCCACGAGTTTTCATATACATTGGTTTCTCCTGGCAGTAAATGCTTCCGCGTGAGACTAGGTTTCTGGTTGGGCAGCAGTGAATCCCTCCTTGTACTGTGTTCCATAGCTTAGTGATGCGCTGTGGGAAGAGTAGGTGCACAGGAACAAAGAAAGAGACTCCGCAAGGCGCTTCATATGCAAAGTGAGCAGTCATGCACTCTGCTTGGAGCAGGGAGGGGGCTTCTAAACCGACTGCAGCTGCTCTCCCATCCCAAAGTGGCATTAAAACCCACCTTTGAAATGAAAGGAAGCAGGAGAGAGGAGGGAGGTGACGGGTTCTTTCCCCCTTCGGCCATGCACAACCAGTTATTTTTATTTTTATTATATTAAAAAAGCATCTCCTCTTTCCCCTGCTTTGAACATTTTGCCCCCACTCCAGAGTCAAAACAGGCTGCAGGCTCCTCACCTCACTGTCATGGGAGAGCCTTCCAGATTGGAGGAAACTATGTTTTCCAGCCTAATTAAGCTCTGATGACTTCAGCTATCTTTCCCACCCCTGATTAAGGCCACAATACTAATTAAACTCTTGGATAATTAAAAATGCAAATTGTCAGGATCCACAGCAAGCCTCTGTTTTCATGCTTCGGGACAAGAGAGGGAAGAGTTGGTAGACCCGCAAGTGAGGCGTAGCAGTAAATTGTGCTCAGTCCCTCTCTGATGTGTATCAGGGACACTGGCTGCTGGGAGTAGGTTTTTTCTCTCATACCCTGCAGTTAGAACATTACATTTGATTAAACCAAGTATGTGCGTAGGTATGTTCAGTTGGGTGTGAGCTGCATTGCTTCAGGAATCAACACGAACATCCGTCTAGACAGGACTACAAATCACATATGTTGCATTAGGGGGAGAAAGTTTTAAAGGGAAATATGTAGAGTGCAGCTGAGAGGTAGAACACATGCTTTGCATGAAGAATGTCCCACGTTCAGTCTCTGGCATCTCCCCAAGCAATGGGGAAGACTCTGGTCCCAAAGCTTTGGAGGGTTTAATAAATCTGCTCTGTCCCATTAAAAATTCTTAGGCTCCTCCAGAGAAAGGGGACAATGGCTTCTGCCCATTCCGCACAAACACACAGGGGGCAGGGGTGGGAGTGGGGAGAGAGATTTGGTTCAGATGTTAATGTGGTGCCGCCTAATTCACACTTTCTGTAGCACTCTGTGAGCTGAAACACAGTCATCTTTCGAAACTGGCACTTCTCAGAATTTTGTAACGCAATTCTTCAACCCTATTCTCAGACTCCGTTCCCCACCTGCTCTGCCGCACACCTGCAGTCCTGCTCATTATGGCATCTGGAGGGATGCGTGGATGGCAGGACCATGGGAGGGTCCAGTACATTGGAAGAGTGTGTGTTTTGTAAGCAGAAAGCTGCAGGTTTGTTCCCTGGAGTCTCCTGGTAGGAAGATGAGGCACAAGGCTTGCCAGGTGGGTCAGAGTGGCTGTCCTACCTCCCCAGAAGGTGGGTTACAAGGAGGGTGAGACGGTGGGGAGGTCAGCATGGTACAAACACAGCAGCAGGCACGTCGGATGGTCTCTACTGGTGCTGGCCTCCCCACTGCCTCTTCCTTCTCCCTCCTGGTAAGCAACAGTGACCCACTTTCCAGAAAGTTGGGTAGCAGCTTCACCCCAACTGGTGAACCACTCCTGAGTGAATCCCCCCACCATTGTTAATAGTTCCTCTTCCTCCCCTCTACCACCACCAAAGAACCAATGAGGAAGCAGGCAGTGGTCCCTGCTGCTCCGCCTTCTCACACCATTCGCTGGGCCAGATCAAGAGGCAAATTTACAAGTAGGTTACTGTAATGACGAGCAGGAGCAGGTCCACAGAGGGAGGTGTTCACAACCCACAGCACCATGTCTGTGCATGCACAAAGCACAATTTAGCTAAACTAGACCTCTAGTCCAGGATTGCCCACTCTGACTGGTAGCAGCTCTGCAGGACCACAGGCAGAGGGTCGTACCCATCACCTGCTACCTGATGGTTTTAACTGAAGATCCCATGGATTGAACCTGGGACCTTCTGCAAAAAATGCATGCACACTGACACTGATCTTTTACTAAAGCTTGCTTCGAGTCCATGCCATAAGGTTCCACAGAAATTCACCACAATTAACTTACTAACTTCCTAACTCCTGACTTTCACTTGGGTCTCCATTCTCAAACATCTCCCCATCAGTCACCTGGGGAAGTAAAGATTGCCAGTCCTTCTTCAAGCTCCATGTACCCTCACAGTTCAGCAACCACAAGTGAACTGTGTAGAGTCAGTCTCTTTCTTATACAGTGGATGCTCAGGTGTGGGCCCCTGGCAAATGCCCAGCCTTACCAATCCATGGTGCCACCCCTCTTTCTGATAGGCTATCCAATAACTCCATTGGGTGAAAAAGCTGTAAAAATTAAAAGGATTTAAAAGAAACCGCACAAAGAATAGGGTTGTTTTAGCACTTTCCCAGTTGGGACCAGCTACTTGGAAACAGCCATATAATCATGGCAGCTCATCGTGGAGTTTTGCCAGATTTGACTCACTGTGTGTCTCTTGTCTGATAGCCCTGATTGGCCGACAGTTATGGCAAACTGTGCTCCATTGTCCTGTCTATGTGTTTAAAATGTAACAAAAGAATAAACAGGGAGTCATTGTCTCAACCCGTGGTGGATTTCCCCTCCCCTCCCCTCTCTTTCTCCTTCTCGCGCACAAAGAGCTGCAGGTGTTTTCCTGGAGACACAAAAGTTAACAAGGATAGAGGTGTTGGCCAACAGCCAGAAGGATAAAATTGCCCAGAAGAGAAAGATGAGGAACTACAAGAGTCGTCCCATGCTGAGTTTTTGTACCTTTGTGGCTCTCGAAGCAAACACATAGGTCAGTAATCAAAGGTTTAGAAAGTCATTTGGCTCCTGCGGCTTGGCCTCCGAATCAGAATGCAGAGACCATCTGCTGGGCTGAAGTTTGTCTTTTGAGGGCTATCGACCATGTCCCAATCTCAGTTACGCCACTGTAAGCCCAAAACTCTGCCCTGGAGAAAGTCAAAACGAGTCACTTTTGGCGATACATCAATGCAATTGACGATAATCTGATTCCCCTCCCAACCCCCACCCACCCTTAGTAATTTTCTCTCTCTCTCTCTCTCTCTCTCTCTCTGCCAGGGTAATATTTGTGCCCTGGCCCCCTTTTTAACTGTGTTGTCATGGCGATGGGCTTCTCTTCTCTGGAAAGGGTGAGGAATCTCTGAATTATTGTCCCCAAACATTTATCTACCCACCTCAATCAAAGTATGAGTTCAATGAAAGTGCAAAACACAAAGGAATAGCAGCCTTGGCTGTTGTTCCAACGTCTCCTGGTCTCCCCTCTTTCGGAGGCCAAAGGCTTCACTGCCAAGCTCATCCCCAGATGCCCCAATAAAGCCCATGCTTTGTCTAATGGTGGCAATGTTGATGGCAATCGGTGGGAAGAAGGGATTGCCAAGTGGGCACTGGAATGGTGTGTCTATCTTTTAGTGCTTTGCAAATGGGGCCTTTTGTGGGGGGCAGTCTGTGTCGTTGAACAATAAATGGAGTGTATGCACACAAGAGAAGTTTTAGGGGGCTTTTTTGAGGGGGGAAGGGAGGAATTCTCGCTACAGAAACATCAGTAGTGCAGCAGCAAAGTCAGAAGTTCAGGCTGTCTTCATGCTCACAAACCTGGCACCTCACAGTCATGCCCCTTCTAGGTTTATGCAGCCTTCTAAGATTATACAACTTATAATCATTCAATTTCTGAATGCTATCCTACTCTGCGCAATACCCTTTTTGAGATGCGGCTGCAACGCTGGTTGGGAATGAATCAGAGTAGGCAAAATATTCAGGACTGGGAACGCCTTGGAGTTAGAAATAGCTTATTCCAGTGCTGCTTAAGGGATTCCATCTTTGCAAATGCCTCTATGATAGAGCATGAATCACGTCTTTTAGACCAGGGATGGGAAACCAGTGTCCTGGAAGCCAGATGTGGCCCCCCAGACCTCTCTATCTGGCCATCATGGCTCTTCCCAGGCCACGCCCCAGGTCACACACCCTCTCCCCAAGATGCACCCCTCATTTGCCCTGCTCTGCACCTCCCCCCCCCAAGTGCTATTGCCTGGCTGGGGTGAGTTCTGGAACCAAGATGATGCTCTCGATCGTGGATGTCTGAGAAACCTTTGGCATTTTGGTGACTGTATAAAAGAATCACTTCCATGGCTCCAGCCACTTTTTGCCTCTGGTACTTTCTGTTCCTTGCCTCTCACCAAACCCAGTTTCTCATGTGGCCCCTGCTGCACTCGCATGTGCCCCCAGAAGTGACAGAAAGCAAAGCCTTGATAGGAAAAGGAACTCCCGCTGTCTTAGTGCCAAAGGTGTCCATTGGATTTTTTCACTCCTCTGAACATTGCAAGACAGCAGTTTAAATGTATCAAACTGCACATTTAAATGAGTATTTTGAAGAAGAAAAAATATACACACATATTTTGAGAGAGAGAAAGCATATATTTAAATACTTATTTTGGGATGTTTTCTTTAAAGAAAATAAAAATCACAGAATAATGTGGGCAGAATTATGGGTAAAAACATGGAGAAGTGACACAGTCTCTCAAGAGTCAGATCCGCTAGTTACTAGCTTGCATTCTTATTGAGGTGCTGCTATTGTCAAAGTCCTCCTGTAGATGCAAAGAAGAGAGAACCTATCAATAATGACTGATGATTTCTGATTACATTTCTTTACCGCAGATCTCCCCTTGGCAGATGGACTGGTCCCATTTCTACCCTTTCACATCCAGGTACTGGGTTTGGGGTGGGGTAGTTTGAAGCATTTATAACACTAGTACTTTGACATTGGATTTGTAGAGTAGCTTAACATTCCATTTCCCTTCACAAGGAATTCTGTGGATTGCAGTTCTGGGAGGGGAATATGTGCTCATAACAACTCTCTGAACCCTTAACAAACTCCAGCTCCCAGAATTCTTTGGGAAACTCCATGACTGTTGAAAGTGGTGTCATAGAGTGGCCTCAGTATAAGGAACACATAAGACTGCATATGAAAATGCACATAGATTTCTTACAGGGGGAAAAATGCACCATGCCGGCATAAACAACCAAAGTTACATATAATTCCTTATGTTAACAATACTCCAGTGTTCATTTTCATAAGCTGCTGGATATTGGCATTGCTTGTATCACTTTTCAAGAACCCTCACCATGTTCTGCATTGTATCAGTATGAGAAAGCCAAAATAAATAATGTAGCACTGAGAAACATATGTATAACTTTAACGAAATGGCAAAATGCTCGGTGTGTTTTCATGGAAGCCTTCCTCCGGAGCACATTCATTTAGTTTACTGATATTTCCAGTAAGGCTACACCACCAGGAGTGGTGAAGACTGCAGTTCATCACAGGCCACTCCATGGCTGAAATGAGATTTGAACTCAGGTCTAGTGTCTGTCTGAAATGCCTCCTCTCACCCCCAGTGTCCCAGCCCCATAGAGGGTGTACATGGATTTTCAGGTGCTGCTCCTGGTGAAAACCATAATTTCCTCAACACTGACACTACATGATAAGATATAAGCATCGTTTGAAACTTGAGTATCTGGTCATTTTATCATGCAATTTGTCAACTCAGCTTTTGGAGGAAGGGACGGATAAATCTGCCAATTTCAGTTCCTTTCATTGTCTCATTTTTTCAACTTCAGTTTTCCACATTTCCACATGTGAGTTTTTCCTTCTTAGTCCTCATAAAAAATCACCAGCTTTTTAGTGTGAATTTATCCCAATATACACATTTTGGCAAAGCTATTACAAAATTTTGGCATGCTTCATTCAATAATATATGCATTTTTATGCACACTTTGCCCTAGTATATGCCTTTGTGCACACCACACTGGGCTTAGAGAACAGCAATGCAAAATCTGGGGAAAGGTGAAAGTCAAAAGATGGTCATGTTTTGGTTCATATATTGTTCTGGAAAATACAGATTCTCTGAGTTCACCTTTGAGTGTGAACTGAATTGAGTTTCTTCTCCATCTGTAGGAGGGGTGTTGGCCAATCCACAAGATGTATTCCTCCTTAAAAACAAGAAAAGTCCTCTCTCTGTTCTATGTCTGTAAGTGTGTATGTGTGTGAGAGAGGCCTCCCGCTTCTTTCCAGCAAGGGAATGTAAGCAGATCTTGGCCCAAAAGCACTTTGCTCAGCAGTTTTTGGCTTGTTTTAATTGGCCAGCCCTGCAAGCATTCTGGACACTGTACCTGTGCCAACAAAAATTCTCCACTTAGGTTCAGCAAGTCCTGATTCTGAGAACAGGAGAGGGACATGGACTTAACATAAGGAATGAGAAAAGCCAGGCTCATGTCTTGTTAAAACAATTCCTTGGAAAGGTGGTGGTGTGAGGAGAACATATATAGCGTATAGAAAATATCAGCTACACCCATTTGCTGATTGTCCTCAGGAGCCTATTTGACTTTTCCTGGCGTAAAGATTACTGTGGCTGTTCTTGAGCTACCTTTATTTGGGGGGGGGGGGTGAGCGTGTAAGATGCATGTTTCATATCAAAACAGTAGCAGGTTATTTCCTCTGAGAAAAGCAAACTGACTATGCATTGTGCAAAGCCTTGACCATCTGAGTCTCTTGATGGTCTGGGGAACCCAAGAAGGCTTATTTAGCTCCCAGTGGGAAGCCAAACAGGTCGCGCTGGTGAAATGTATTCGGCTTCCTAGGTCCCAAGTTGAACAGACCTGCAATTCAGATTGTCGGACTCATTTACTGGAGATCTGTCTGATGGCAAGGGGCCCGTCTTCCCACCCCAGCCAGAAATGTTATCTAGTGTTCTCAGTTCACAACCCTGAAATCCACGCTCTACCTTCTAAAAATCCCCCAGATGCCTCAGCAGGAGAGATGTGCAAATCTGTCAATTTTGGCTTCTCTCCGTTTTTCATTTTTCCAATCATAAATTTGGTTCTCCGCATTTGTATGATTTTTTTAAAAAGTATTTTTTGCATTTATATCCCACCCTTTTCTCCAAGGAGATCAAAGTGGCATATGCAGCTTTCACCCTCTTCATCTAATCCCCACAACAATCCTGTGGTGTAAATTAGGCTAAGTGGCAGTGACTGGCCCAAAGGTGACCCAGTTTGCTTCATGGCTGAGTAGAGATTTGAACCCTGGTCTCCCAGGTCCTGGTCTGGAATCCAACCACTACACCATGCTGGTGTCTTCCTGAAAATTTACCAGCATTTTCATGCAAAAATTCCCCCAATAAAGCCCTGTTTCTGTTCAATTTTGCCTAGCACATACACCTTTGCAAAGGGTTGTTTCGCCAACTCTCAGTGGCTGAGCCACCTCCTTTGTCAAAACCAAGGTTTAGAAGGCTTTGCAGGGGCTAAAAAGCTCTCCTTTTGTGTTGATTGCATGGCTCTAGGATGCTGGAGACAGGGAACCCACTGGGACTCTGCTGCAGAAATTGCAACGGGTCTTCAGCCCCCCTGCAATCCCTGAACCACTACTTCTCTTGCCTTTGCTGAAGAGGTGCTGCCGGGGTAGAGAGCACTGGGAAAGCTGGCCATACAAGCTAGCCATCTAAAGAAGCCTGGGGACTGTAGATTATCCCTAACAAAGCGACAATTCCCAGCACCCTTAACAAACTACAGCTCCCAGGATCCTCTAAGGGAAGCCATGCTCTTTAAAGGTATGGTAGCAGTGTGAAGGGATGCGGGTGGCGCTGTGGGTTAAACCACTGAGCCTAGGACTTGCTGATCAGAAGGTTGGTGGTTCGAATCCCCACGACGGGGTGAGCTCCCGTTGCTCGGTCCCTGCTCCTGCCAACCTAGCAGTTTGAAAGCACGTCAAAGTGCAAGTAGATAAATAGGTACCGCTCCAGCGGGAAGGTAAACGGTGTTTCCGTGTGCTGCTCTGGTTCGCCAGAAGCGGCTTAGTCATGCTGGCCACATGACCCGGAAGCTGTACGTCGGCTCCCTCGACCAGTAAAGCGAGATGAGCGCCACAATCCCAGAGTTGGTCACAACTGGACCTAATGGTCAGGGGTCCCTTTAGCTTTTATAGCAGTGTGACTATAGTCTACCCTGGAATAAGGCAGTTTCCTGTGTTACTAGTTCCTGATCGGATAACGCTGCAGTCAACTTCTCTTCCACTACGTTGGGCAACTTTCATGTCGTTTTTTAAACGTGTGGCATCTGTTCAGAGGTTCTTCTAATCCTGTGGTTTTCCCACCAGCCTGTAGATCAGCATCATTCCTATTTTCCAGTTGGAGATGGAACCGAGGTGGAGATTGCAGTTTACCAAAGGCTATTCTATCACTGAGCAAAAATGTGGATGCAGGAATCACAGCTCTGAACAAGTACCATGCCCACTGGTGAGAAATGATGGATGTGTTCAAAGCATTCTGTTGAATTCATGTGTGGTGGGCATGCACTCTCTCTCTCTCACTTTTACATTCTATACATTTTCCTTGGACATACATGCATTGCCATAATTATACCCATATATTTAGAACGTTGATGCAAGTTTTAATCTGTTTTTAGTTTATTTGTTATTTTAACTTTTTGAAAATTTAAAGTTATTGTTGTTAATTCTGCTTATTGATAATTTTATTGTTTTATCTTTTTTTGCAAACTCTTTGGTATTATTATTATTATTAATCAAAATTCAAAAGAGTTTTAAACAACTTACAATCACAGAAATAAGGTGGATTATAAAAATATACACCTTACGTCTCAAAAGCTCCAGGCAAGAGATGCACCTTCAGGATTCTTCAGAATCTCTACAGTGGTACTTCGGGTTAAGGACTTAATTCTTTCCGGATGTCTGTTCTTAACATGAAACTGTTCTTAACCCGAAGCATCACTTTAGCTAATGGGGCCTCCTGCCGCTGCCGCGCAATTTCTGTTCTCATCCTGAAGCAAAGTTCTTAACCCTAGGTACTATTTCTAGGTTAGCAGAGTCTGTAAACTGAAGCATCTGTAACCTGAAGCATCTGTAACCCGAGGTACCACTGTACAATGAAGGTTCCAGACACAACTTTGTTAGGAGTTCCACAGTTTAGGAGCCACCACAATTCCTCCTCCTGGGCAACCACCACCCTGAGCTTCTGAGGGTGGTGGAACGACTGAGAGGGCCTCCTCCCAATCTTAGCACCCAGGAGGGTTTGTAGGGAAGGAGACGATCTTTCAGATATTTGGGGCCTGAGTCGTTTAGCGCTTTAAACACTAATATGACCCCATTGAATTGAGCCCAGAAATAAACTGGCAACCAGTGCAACTGTTTAAAAAGGGGATTATATGAGATCTAGATGGAACCTAAGCCAGTAATCTGGCTCCTGCATTTTGGACCAATTGAGTCATCTTCAAAGGCAGCCCCATGTATGCATGTGTGTATATATTTGCACCTTGCATTTTAGCCAACAAGGCTCCCAAAGCTGCCTATATAAATCAGAAAACATGACCAACAAAAATTAAAAACAGTATGCCAAAACACATAGCCTTGCAATAGTGTGAGATGAAATACTCCCTTTCGTGCTGGCTCCACTTTTGCCCTGCTTTAACTCCTATGGCCCCTTATTGTTAATGTATCCTGTTACTGAAGTAAATCTCAGTAATGACTTTGGTAAAGAAAACAATAATAAAAAGTTCATTTATAATACATTCCTGATAAGCTTTTCTGTCTTTTGAACCATCCACACCGTAATGAACATAAATGCTGTGCATTTTCTAAATATATCTTCAGGATTTCCCAGGGCATTTAAAATTAGATTTGAGTACGATCTTTTGGAGAAACATAATGATTCCTGAGCCTCATCTGAGGCAATTAAAAGAGGAACTTTGACATTTAAGATATCATTCTCCCCCTTCATTAACCAATTATAAATAATAGCAATAATTAACAAATTTGCGCCATTCATTATCTGCCTAAGTAAACCTTTCAGGTTAATAATTGGAGCCGTTAACTCTCACCTTTTAATCAAAGGATCGCCTGCTTGAAAGAAAATGAAAGAAACATTTTTGCCTAAGGATGGTTGATAATTGCTAAAGTCTGGTCCGACCCAAAGACAAATGGACAGTCAAGGGGACTCAGGGGTTAGACTGAATGGGCGTTTTCCCATAGCCTGGTGTGTTAGTCTTCTGACAGCCTATCCAGATGCACAGATTCCACATGGAATTTGATTTGTGGCGCAAAATGAATTTTCAAGCTCCAGACTTTGACTCCTATCCATAGACAGTTCATAGAATAATAGAACTGTAGAGGTGGACAGGACCATGAGACTTACTTAGTTGAACCCTCTGCAGTGCGGAAATCTTTCGCCCAATGTTGGACTCGAACCTGCAACCGTGACATTAAGAGCCTCATGCTCTACCAACTGAGCTGTTTAAACCAACCAGAAGTAAGCAAACTGTGATCAACTTGCCCTGCTTACCTCTTCCTCAGCTTTGTTCTAGGCTAACAAGTTCCAAATGCTGCAACCGTTTCTCAGGGGGAGTTTCTCAGTCTCCTTTAAGTTGCCCTTTTCTGAATCTTTTCTGTCGAAATTGCGCCACTTTGAGATTTGCAAAAGTGACCCCACTATTTTGCGGGCATGTCGAGATGGGGATTGGATCACCTGCCTCCCTCCACTTCCCCTCCTTTCACTCTCTTTTTACTCCTGCTTTGTTTGCCTGCTGCTGCGAGACATGAAATTGTGCAACATTTTGCACTGAGCATAAAAGTTCTCAAGGTCAAACAGCTCAGGCAGCCTTCGATGGCAGCACTACTGTGTTTCAGACCAACCTGGGATTCCCTTGGGAACAAATTTTCTCAGGAAATGTTGCTATTTCCGGCCTCGGTTGAAAGTCAGGAAAGGAGGGGGGCATTAGCAAAAATGTAAGAGCTCACCAGATCATTCTTTTTTTCCTTTTTCTCCCTGCACTGCTTCCTTGTGACATTCGCAGCCATTTGTTGCTTCCCCCAGAGCAGCTTGCTGAAGCCTATGACCTTTGGCCCAATGGTTGGGTGGGAATAAGTTTTACATTTAGGATTTCCCCACCCCCGGCTAGACGGCAAGTGTGTGTTTTGTCAGGTTGGAAGGAATCTATCTGGGTGAGGTTAGGGCTACCTGCCCTTCTGGCTGACCTTATGGGGGCCGTGTGCTTCTGCTGGCAAAAGTGGGCAGTGAAACAAATGCGAATTTTACCTTTGTACAGGAGGTTAGTTTCGGCAAACACTCGCTTGCCCCTCTTTATTGTCCAGCCAGACAATTCCCAGAGTAGTTTAACAATCAATCCCTCTTTGCAGGGAACTCTGGGAAAGGGAGCTCTGTGAGGGGACTAGGCAACTCTCAGCACCCTTAAAAGACTACCGCTCCCAGAATCCCCCAGAGAAGAACTGGAAATGCTCTGGATACTTTCTGGATATTTCATATAAAGACTACATTTCTAGCGCCTTTTGAGAAGCCGCTCTCTTTTCTTCAGACGCTCTGGATTCTGAGGCCAAGGGCAAACCTGGTGAAATATCAATACAGCTGTAATAAAGCTAAGTTTTGTGTAGCTGTATTTCTGGAGCAGAGGATATTCTTTGCATACAGAAGGTCCCTGGCATCTGAGAATGTCCCCTGCCTGAAACCTTCGAGAACTGCATTGCAAAGACAGAGGTGATGAAGGAAAAGCCTTGCTGGTAGGCTGCTAACAGTTAACCAAGGCCACATTGCCATAATACACATAAAGCACTATGTTGCCACTTTTAAAAAAAAGTCATGGCTTCCCCAAATAATTTTGGGAGCTGTAGTTTGTTAAGGGTACTGAGAGTTGTTAGTAGACTCCTATTCCTCTCACAGAGCTACAATTCTGAGTAGCTTGTAGAGAGCAATTGCCTGTTAAACCACCCTGAGAATTGTAGCTCTGTGAGGAGAATAAGGGTCTCCTAAGAGCTCTCAGCCACCTTAAGCTACAGCTCCCAGAATTCATTGAGGGAAGTCATTACTGTTTATAGCAGCAGGACACTGCTTTAAATATAAGGTGTCAGTGTTGCCCAAGGCTGCCACTGACACCAAGATATCCAGGATGTTAAGAGCAAAGAAGAAATGGAGTCTTGCTCTTGTGCTTTTAACCGCAGCCTGTGCCAAAATCAGCAAGTGAAGCTTCCCCCAGTAAGGACACCGACCTCACCACTGTGGTGCAGTGGTTAGATGGTTGGGCTAGGACCTGGGAAACCAGGATTCAAATCCCCACTGGGCCATGAAACTCACTGGGTGCGACCTGTGAGGTAGGCCTAACCTACCTCACAGGGTTGTTGTAGGGATTAAATGAGGAGGGTGAAAACCATGTATGCCACCTTGAGTTCTTTGGAGAAAAAGGTGTGCTATAAATGCAATATGTAATACTAATAATGCCTGGAGATCAAGGCACTGGTATTGTCACAGAGGCTAGTTGTGTCAACCCTATCCTTGTTCAGTATTCTTATGCCATTACTTCTAGACAGATATATTTTTAAAGGATGTTATTGACAACAAATGCTCCTTTCCCCCTCACATGTTATTTTCTCCCAGTCTTAATGCTGAAGGCAATTCTAGCTAGTCATCCATCTTCATTTACCGTAGATACTTCCCCCTCCCTTTTCTCACTCTCACCACTAGGTGGCAGTGTAATGGCACAGACTCGCACCTACTGTGGCAATGGAAGGATACACAACCACACCTTTGTGTAGAAACTTGGAATATAAAATGTTACCCATTTTGGATTCAATTGACTTTCTCTGTTTTCTCCCATTCTACCCCCTCCATCTAAAATGTCTCATTTGGTCACATGACAGGTTATCACCATGCCTGTTTCAAATGATAAGCCAAAGATAAATTTATGGAGTACAAATTTTCAAAGTTCCAGATTTTGGATACTCAAGATATGGACAATGCTTCGAAATGCTATACGCAAATAATAATAATAATGCTTTAGCATCACAAGTGCAAGTTCTGAATTTAGTAAATATGACAGGGGATGTCCGGCTTTAGAACAAAAACTGGAAAGGGCCTCTATAAAGATTTTTATTTAATGTGAGGTGTTAGGCCAAAATCAAGAAGCATTCTGCCATTTAAGTACATGTTTCAGAAGGTTGGCAGGGCAAAGTTGTTGTTTTTTGTTCCTCTATCAGTTTTAGAATTCTCCAGGAAGAACTGAAAATGCTCTGGATACTTTTTGAACTGGATATTTCATATTAAGACAACTTTTCTAGCGCATTTTGACAAGGGCATCTCTCCCCCCCCCCTTCAGGTGCTCTGGATTTTGAGCCCCAGCGCAAATATCAAAACAGCTGCAGTAAAGATAAGTTTTGTGTAGTCGTAGCTCAGGAGTAGAGGAACTGCTTTGCATGCACAAGGTCCAAGGGTCAATCCAGGTATGGCTGGGAATGTCCCTTGCCTGAGACCTTGGAGAGCTGCATAGCAAAGATGACAAAGGACAAGTCTCCTTGGTAGCCTGGTCACAGTAGACCAAGGTCACATACACTCGATACATTTAAAGCGTCATGGTACCACTTTAAACAATCATGGCTTCCCTAAATAATTTTGGGAGCTGTAGTTTGCTAAGGGTGCTGACGGTTGTTAGGAGACCCTCACAGAGCTACAGTGCCCAGGCTGTTTTAACAATTAATCTCTCTTCACCGGGAACTCTAAGAAATGTAGCTTTGTGAGGGAAATAGGGGAGGCCTATACTCTGGTGAGAAACGTGGGTGGCGCTGTGGGTTAAACCTAGGGCTTGCCAATCAGAAGGTTGGTGGTTTGAGTCCCTGCGACAGGGTGAGCTCCCATTGCTCGGTCCCTGCTCCTGCCAACCTAGCAGTTCGAAAGCACGTCAAAGTGCAAGTAGATAAATAGGTACCGCTCCGGCGGGAAGGTAAACAGCGTTTCCATGCACTGCTCTGGTTCGCCAGAAGCAGCTTAGTCATGCTGGCCACATGAAGCTGTACGCTGGCTCCCTCGGCCAATAAAGCGAGATGAGTGCCGTAACTCCAGAGTCGGCCACGACTGGACCTAATGGTCAGGGGTCCCTTTACTATTACTATACTCTGGGGAAAGACAACTCTAGCAACCCACACAATTTCAGTGGTCTCCCATAATGCAAAAATGGGCTGTGGTTAGCCAAGAACTATAGACTACTGCTAGTAAATATAGGCATATATGCTTCGTGGCTGAAAAGGCACTTGAATATGAGACCACATACTCACCTTACACTCACAGCATCAGTCAAATACATATGAGTAGGAGGCTCAATAGCCTAAGAAATTTTATGCACATTCTGCTTTATTTATTTGGTAACTTATTTCTTCTTCTTCTTCTTCTTCTTCTTCTTCTTCTTCTTCTTCTTCTTCTTCTTCTTCTTCTTCTTCTTCTTCTATCTCAGAGCTGTTTCTTTGTAGCTCCCAAGTGCCCCCCTCACCCAGACATTGTCCAGACTGAGACCTCCTTCACTTGAAGAGTGAAGTGCATCATGGACCCTCAAGATTATTCCCCGGGCCTTGTGAGTTTCTAAATTGCATCTTAGGAAGTCCTTTATTCAGGGTGAGATTCGGGGTCTGTGTCAAGGGTCTGTGGTGGTGGCCTATGGAACACTTGAGTGGTAGTATTTTGCAGTGTGAAGTGGGGGATTTAGGTTGTGCCAAGAGACCTTCCGCTGACCCCCTCTATAGGGCAAGGAATTACCAGAAATGCATGGAAATACATGTCTGGCCATGTGTGTATAGGGTGGATTAGCCGCCATTATTTGCAAAGAAGATTATAATGAGGAGAGGAAATGTCACAATGCAAATGAATGGACGTGTCAATATTTGGTAGAAAGAATAGAAAGAGTAGAAAAGCCAGTCCCCATGTCCTCAGATAAAACAGAGTCCCAAATGCAGCTGCTGGCGGACAGAGATCTGAGGAGACAATGTGGTTACTAAGACATCCTCTGGTAGGGGGATTTTGCCTTTCATTTTTAAACCAATAAGGATATCCCCACTTATGGTCCCCTTTAAGCTCTCATAAGCAAAAGAAGGTCAGTCTGAGCGACGTGGCTTCAGCTGAAGACCCTCAAGAAACACTTAAGATGCATATAGCAAATGCCATTGGGTCAATGGTAGTAGTGTTCTTCCATCTGAATCAACCAGTGGTGTTCCATTCAGTCAACCTGATCCTAATTTAGCGCTGGCTTTTAGATAGGTTATTAAAGTTTCACTCATTTCCGTTTATTTAAAACAACTCAGAAACGTTTGTGTGTCTCTACGGTGGGGAATGTTAAGCCACCTTTATCTGACCCCCCCCCCCCTTAGCACCACTTGATTCAACATTAGGTTTGCAGATTTGCACCACGAGTAAAGCAATGCCAGCTTGATCCCTCTGGGTTAGATCTTGAGATCCGGCAAAGTTTTTTTGTGTCAGCAAGTTCTTGGCTTGGTCAACTATTTAAAATATTTTTTTTTATCGTACAGTGGTACCTCGGGTTACATACACTTCAGGTTACATACGCTTCAGGTTACAGACTCTGCTAACCTAGAAATATTACCTCGGGTTAAGAACTTTGCTTCAGGATGAGATCAGAAATCGTGCGGCGGCGGCACGGCGGCAGCAGGAGGCCCCATTAGCTAAAGTGGTGCTTCAGGTTAAGAACAGTTTCAGGTTAAGAACAGACCTCCAGAACGAATTAAGTTCTTAACCCGAGGTACCACTGTATTTGTTTTCATAGCACATTTTTGTATACACTTATAGTCTCATTTCTCCTCGTAACAACTCTGCGAAGGAAGCTATGCCAAAAACAGTGCTTGCCCATTGGCTAACCAGGAAGCTGAGCCAGAATTTGAATCTGAGTTTTCCACAGACTCATACCTCCTCTGATCTTGTGGTCAATAGGACACCGCACTTGCCTTCCTGCTGAATGTCCATAGCAAGCAGGGCAGAACTGAATTTTCACGGGCAAACATTTTCACTATAAAATAGAGAGTTTTAGCTACCTAAATGTCCTTATCAAAAATAAGTTTTCTGCCATGCCTGTTTGGCACCATTTTGCTCCTGATTGCTGCTGATTTCAGCAGCTGCTTTGGCAATAATAAATAAACAAATGGGGGGTGGGATCCTTCTTGGCTATGTTATCCAGCCAGTCAGGGATCCTGTAACTAGCATGATGATGTCACAACACTATGTAGCCTATTGGATTTGGCTATGCAATAATGACATAACCAAGCTGAATTAGAATTTATCCACGCTTAGCTTTCCTTTGCACTTTCTAGACATAGTCCACACTTTAAAGCTTCATGTCTGAGTGCTCTTTGTGGTGGGTTTTTTTGCCCCAGAGCTTTCCCAATGAAAACCCACTCTTTACCACCGAATTGGAGAAAATTGTAATCCATGGAAAACCAGAATTGCAGTTGAGTCTTATAGAGTGGCTTTTTGCGTGGAAAACTCTGGGGCACTTGGACACAGAGCTTTAAAGTGCAGATCTGTGTCTGGAAAGCACAAGGCAAAAGGTAAGTGTGGATAAGCCCTTGGGATGAGGATGATACTTCCTGCTCTCTTTATGAATGAGACAATTATTTTACTCTGTTTCACCCATGTGATTTAAAAAATAATAATATTACTTTTCCAATATTTACCCAATATTACCACAGCTTTGCCAATTATACAGATTCCAATTAATATCAGAGTAATTCCAATTATTTCCAAATTTGTACAGTTTAATCAAAGCATTCCACCCATTTGAATAGTTCCTGAAGTTTCTTCTCCAATAACGTTGCTTGCAGCAGAGCATTTTCTTCAGGAGTTGCCAGGCTTCACGTAAGCTTCACGTTCTGATTCTACTGAAGTCTGTCGTAAATCTAGCACACGCTCAGGATTCCTTTGCACCTTATCGTTTCAGCAGAGCAAGCAGGAGAGAAGAGAGAGAGACATGGGCAAGAGGTTCTCCAGAAAGAAAACCACCCCTGCTCCTTACCTGGGCTATCAGGAGAATCCCAGTTGACTTCTCTAACTTCCTGTCCTGCAAGTTTCTGCCGGGTCAGAGGAACACAGAAAGAAAGGTACATGCCTAGGCCCAAGGGGCTACACAACCAATGCATAAAATCCTCATTGCATGCCATGCACTAGGTGCAGGGGCCAAATGTGTCTTCCATACATCTCTATCTGGCCCTTGGGAATCTCCTCAGGCCACATACCTCCCTCAGACATGCTGCTTCCTTGGCCACACTCTCTCTCCCCAGCCCTACTTCATTCGTCCTTGAATCTTTTTCTTTTTTCCCTGGTAGGAATGTGTCTTTGAACTCTGATATTATTTATTTATAGAAGTATTTCTGTACTGCCATATGGCAAGCTGTCAAGGCAGTGTACACCACTAAAAAAACAACAACATCATTTTTATATGGTACGGTATATTTTATATTGTAATTTTATCCCGTAAACTGCCCTGAGACCTGCGAGTATAGGGCGGTATATAAATTTAATAAGTAAATAATAATAATAATCATTAGATAAATAAATACATAAATTGAATGTGAAAGTACAGGTAATCATGAAGTCAACTGACTGCAAAGAAGAGTTTGGATTTGATATCCCGCTTTATCACTACCCAAAGGAGTCTCAAACTGGCTAACATTCTCCTTTCCTTTCCTCCCCCACAACAAACACTCTGTGAGGTGAGTGGGGCTGAGAGACTTCAAAGAAGCGTGACTAGCCCAAGGTCACCCAGCAGCTGCATGTGAAGGAGTGGAGACGCGAACCCGGTTCACCAGATTATGAGTCCACCGCTCTTAACCACTACACCACACTGCAAAGGTCTGTTGGCACAAAGAAGCCTTCAAGAGACTCCTGCAAGTCAAAAGTGAGGGTGCCTCCAGAGTCTCTGCAGGAAGAGTGCAACATTTAACTCCTGATGTCTAGCTGAGTCCAGACAGGTCTCTGGAAAACAGGGGACAATGAAGAGCCCTCCTCCAGGTGACTGAGGGTGCGGTCCTCTAGACCAGTGTTTCCCAACCTTGGGCCTCCAGCTGTTTTTGGACTACAACTCCCATCATCCCTAGCTAGCAAGACCAGTGGTCAGGGATGATGGGAATTGTAGTTCAAAAACAGCTGGAGGCCCAAGGTTGGGAAACACTGCTCTAGACACTTACCTAAAGATAACTCCCACTGAAATCAGGAGCTGATTTCTGAGTAGACCTGTTCGGTATACCAATGTGAACGTCCTTCCATAGCAAAACATTCCATGCAGAAAACTTGATAAGGGCTACACAGGAAGCCCATTTTGGATGATCTAGCTCGGCACTCCCTACATTGGCTGGTGGTGACTGTCCATGGTTTTCAAATAGTGATCTTCCCTAGCTCTTTCTCTGGAGACGCTGGGGATTGAACTTGGGACATTCTGCACTCAAAGCCACATGTCGTACCACTGAGCTACAGCCCTTCCCAAATTTAGAGCATCGTACCACTTGACTCATCTAGGCCAGTGTTCCCCAAACCTGGGTCTCCAGCTGTTTTTGGACTACAATTTCCATCATCCCTGACCACTGGTCCTGCTAGCTAGGGATAATGGGAGTTGTACTCCAACAACAGCTGGTGACCCAAGTTTGGGGAACACTGATCTAGGTCATTCTCATATGCACTGACTGGCAGTGACTGTCCACAGTTTTAGGCAATCATCTTTCCCAGAAACACTTGGAGATCCCAAGGAATGAACCTGGGATCTCCTCCATCCAAAGCAGGTATTCTACCATGGAGATAATGGTCCTTCTCCTGTGATCCTTCTGGACCACTTTTCTCCATGCCATGCTCCTTTTCCATGTGTGGGGATTGCTGTTATTACTTTTGAATGGAGGAGCTTTCATTCATAGTGGTACCCCCCCCCCCGCAGACACAAGTCTGTCTCCTCAGTGAGATGTTGGCTACTGTGAAAGGAAGCCAACCAAAAGCCCTGCCACGAGACCCACTTTTGCCTTAATACCACTGTAAGAACTGATACAGCCCTCTGGATATCTTTCCCCCCAAGGAGTTATCTCAAAGCCAGGCATTCTCTCAAAGTCATTGAGCTGGCAAACTAAACAGAGGTCATTTTACCTGGGCTAAACAATAGCGTTGCTGTCATCCATGCCAGAGATGGAGCAGTTAGAAAATGCACTTGAAAGCTGGCTTTGAGACTGGTTGCTAGGCTGAGACAGACCAGGTGCCCTGTCTCAGTTTGGGGGCAGACAGTGGAATGAGGCACATCAGCGGCCTGGCTGGATCAACCTTCCTGGGCAAATTCCAGTTCTACCGAGTAAGCAAAGAGACGGGGAGATGGAGACCAAATTCTACATAACGCTGAAGCGCGACTGACTTTAGCACGGCACTTTCGGTAATTTCTAATGCAGCCCTTTGGTTTTGCACTCCTTCTGAATGCTGTTGCACACAGAGGAGAAATTCCATTCCATTCACACTGAAAGACAAACGTAACTAAGTCACACTTTTCAAAACGAAGCCATTGAAATCCACACCTCTCTGAATTCTGCAATGTGGTTCTCCAGTCAAGGACTGTGTGCAAAAATGAACAGGCTAGGGGCAAAATGTGCATAAAAATGCATAGATCAGTGAAAATGACACACAAAAATGCATTATATATTTGGGGAAATTGCTTTTCAAATATGTGCATATTAGGCAAAATTACATAAAACATGTGTATATTCAGATAAATTCACACTGAAATGCTCAGAAGGACTTTCCGTTTGAAAAAAATAAAAATCTTGAATTGATGTGGAAATGTGGAGAACTGAATTTAAAATTTAACCCTTTATAGATTTTGTTGAAATTGATCAGTGTTATATTACTGCAAAATTAATAAAATGTTCTAAGAACATTAAAACAAGAGAAACTGAAAAAGACTGAAATGCATAGATTTCTGCATCCTTGCTTTTGCACTATCAGATCAACTCTCGCTCTTGAGAGCTCTCTTTCAGTCCTGGAGCCAAATCAAAACCACTTGGGCCATTTTGTGCCATTCTAGAAAATTAATCCTCCCTGCCCCATGATTATTGTAGTGTTCCTTGTATACTCTACCACCCCAACACTACTTGACACAATACCATTCTTCCATTCCACCCCATTCCCTTCCTTCCTGTTCATTTCCTCTTCATTTTTCATGGCTTTTAAAATCATTTCCCTCTCTTCCTATGTTGTTTCATAAAAATGTGAAGGGACTATGTGTGCCACACTGAAGGCAGAAAGAAATTACTTTCACTTGCTTTCCTAAGCAGTAGCTGCATTGGTCTGTTGTACTTTAATGTAAAGGGTCGTTTCATGATTGCCGCACAGGCATTCTCCCTCACAGCTATGCACTTTAAGATTATGCAATAATCTTATAATTATATGATTATATGCTAATAATAATAATTAAGAGTGTATTGCAACAATGAATGCAGATCTCCACGTGCTGCCTTTCAGCTAGATCTACTATTTTCCATGGGCAAAGGATTGGGAATGCTCCAATATCTTCTTTTGGAATGATTTTTGTTTTTGTTTAAGTTCTATTGCACGTAACAGAAGGTGCACAGCATCCTCTTTCTTAACTTCTTAACTTTATTCATCATTTTCTCAAAATACATACACAATCTCTATATACCATCATCCCCAATAAACTCTCCACTTTCTTGAACCTGAAGCACCTTGTGTTCTCTGTTGTTCCCAAAAGCTTAGCTTTGGAGCATACAGAACAACAACTCATCAGTGTTCTTCCCGCACGCATTCTCCAGAGTGACCCTAGGAGCCAATCTTCTGTAGCTGACTCACCTCCGTTCACTCTGATTGGCTTCAACCAGAACAAATGGTGAGGACTTCTCAGTGGCCCAAAAGCTCTCCTCTCCTGCAGATTGGATGGCTTTAGGGACAGGGACTCTACAACAACTCTGCTGCAGAAATAGTACTAGTTCCTTGATCCTCCATGACCCTAGATTACACTCTGTGTCAATTCCTAGAGAGATTTCTTTTCCGGCTCTACTCTGTGAGATCCCTTTTTACTGGAGATGCCTGGTAGTGAGTCTGGTACTGTATGCAGGTGTGCTGAAAGGGAATTTTTGCTCTTATCTCCCAGAAAGCTACTGGACTTAATACTTTCCCTCCAATTTGCTTTTTGCTAGATTTTTATCACTATCCAGGGGGCATTAGAGACCCCAAAATGCCCTGGGTTTCACAGTGTTCATTCTCTGTGCCAGCCTATACCATCGAAACACTTTGAAAACAGTATTTAAGAATATGTGTTGGGTTCCTGATGCATTCCAGTGAATCCAAGGGGAGATTTATTTTCTCTCCTTTAGCAATTGCTGGCTCAGAACCTTTTTAATAATTATCTTTGATTTGCTTCTTAATCTACTGCTGTCTTTAATCCTCCCTCCAGCTCATAAAGAGAGAGAGAGAGAGACTCTATTGGCTTCAAAAACAACCTCCACCTTTTTTGGCAACAGGTTATTTTTCTAAGTGGCTAATTGCGTGCCAGATTTCACTCGCATCGCTCTTCCAGTATGTGTCAGGCATAGATTCGGCATTAATCACTCGTTTGCTCTGTATGGCATTTATTTCTTCAGGAAATGAATCAGACAAGAGGGACCTGCGCCTCCTCACCCTCCCGTCACTCTGCCCATTTTGCCAGGGAAGAAGGCAAGGGGTTTTTGTGTGTGTGTGTGTGTGTCTTTCTCTCTCCCCTCCCTCCCCCCCATATAACACACCCCCTTGCCTGTCTCTCCACCAATGAGTTTGGCTTTGCAAATGCGTCTTCTGCGCCTTGAGTCATCGGCCACGATCACTTCACAGCAATGAAACCACAGAATCCCCTTCCAAAAGCGAGCGGTGAGTGCCAGCCAGAAGCAAATAGAGAAATGAATGTTCATGCCCGTCAGGGTAACGAGAATGGAAACAGTGTGTATCACTTCTTAGTCTCAGCTCTGCCTGCCAACGCCTGAATTCCTGCAGTTAAAAAGGGGGAACTGAAGTGAGGAGTTCATTGCCTCTTCTCCTCTCCTAGCCAGAGTTCCTACTGGAACTCATCCTTACTGTACTACTGGCTGTGTTGCATGTGGAGCCCTGGGATGTCTGCGGATGCAGAAGACTGGGTGTCTGTGTGTGCATTCAGAGCCCAACTCATAAAAATAAAGGTGCTCAGAATTAAGACAGCAGGAACCATGTTTTGGGATCAGGGCTGGGGGAGAAATTTGATTCAGTTCACATTAAAAGCTTTGGAAAGAATAAGCAAACTGAAACACAGCCATCCTTTGAAACTTCGCACTCCTCTGAATTTTGCAACACAGTTCTCCAGTCATGAAATGTGTACAGAAATGCACAATAATGGGTCAACGATGCATATAAACGTATAGATCAGTGAAAAGAACATATGGAACTGTATTAAATTAGGGGAAATTGCTTTGCAGGTATGTCTATGATGCAAGACCACAATTTCTTTTGTTGTCTGCTGGGCAAAATTACATGCAAACATGTATATGGGACCTTAATATGAGGGCTAGGCAATAAGACCCCTACTCCTCTCCCAGAGCTAAAATTCCCAGAATGGTTTAACAATCAAAGCCTCGTTACAGAGAACTTGGGGAACTGGGAGGGGAATGTGGTGTGTGGGTGTCTCCAAACAAGTCTCAGCATCCTTAACAAACTGCAGCTCCCATAATTCTTTTGGGGAAGCCATGACTGTTTAAAGTTGTTTCGTTGTGCTTTAAATGTATGGTGTGAATATGGTCTTAGTCATGATAACCAGGACTTTTTCTCTTTCCCCCCCCAGCTGGAACTCAACAAAACTCAGTTCTGGCGCTTCTCACGTGGGTGCTATTGGCATTCTAAGAGAATGAGGGAAGTGTTTTCATGGTGAGTTCTGGCACCTCTTTTTCTGGAAAAATAGCACCGATGATAACTAAAAATGCAGGAAATTGATGTCCAGGGATGGTGGGAGTTTTTGGGGGGAGACAGCAAGATCAGACGTTGATGTCCAAAGATGGTGGGAGATTTTGGGGGACAGCAAGATCTGCAGGGCCATGCCTGGCTAAATGGGACCTTCTTGTTCAAAGGCAATGTAGCCCTGGATACCATTTTCAATAGGGGAGAGCTATTGCTTTTTGTCCTTCCTGGGGGCATTGGATTGGTCCCTGTCGGAATTAGGATGTTGGACTCAATGATGGGACTCCTGGGCCAATCCTGCAAAGCTCTCCTTACATTCTTACGGCTAGGGAAGGAGTGTGTTGTCATGCCAAGGTTGAACATATGAGCCAGGGCTCAGCCCCTAAACTGTTATTTATTTTTATTTAATGTATGTACCAGCCTTCCATCAAGGATTCTAGGGAGGTTTACGGCAAAGCTATAACAAATGAAACATCAAAAGATGAAAGCGACCAAAAACAAGACTGAAAAAGTGCTAAAACAGCAGAAGGCAAATCCACAAAAACTCTATAAACAACCAATTAAAAACTTGGAGAGATACTTAAGGATGCCTTAAAAACCAACTGAAAGTTCTTCTCTTGGCACCTAAAGAAAAATGGAGGTGCCAAGCAAGCTCACCTAGGGAGGATGTTGAACACCACCACTGGCAGAAGGAGGGGGCAAAAACACCTTTCTTTGATGGCCACCCACCTCTGCAATGACAACTGGGGTGCCCTGAAAAGGGCACTGGCAGATGACTGCTGGAGTTGGGCAGATCACTGTGGCATCCCATTGCCTGAATGCCAAGGCCCATAAAACAAAATGAGACAGGCTCTGAACTGGTTTAAAGTCAAGTTGGCTCCAGGCAGTCTGTGAGCAATCCAGTTTGCCGCACAGAATGGCCAATTGCTTAGTCAGGAACAAACAAGCAACAAACAAAACAACCAAGAAAGTCAGTAGCTGTCAAAAGGGTAGATGGATCCCTATTGGCTGCTCGGGTCACCTGGTCCCTGCCAGGCTGCAAGTTGCACTACCACTGCTGGACTGCTGCAGCGGTGGCGCTATAGTGCTGCATAGTTGTGGCCCATGGTTCTCAAAGCTTCTAAGTTGCTTTAGTGGGATGGGGAGTAGAGCAAGGCAGTTTTGCTGACAGAGTCTCCTGGTTGACCCCCACCATTAGCTGTGCCAGCCTTTTTTAAAATCTCTAAAATCAATATTATTTTGATCCATTATCGTGGGGCCCCTAAAAGGCATGGGGCCCATAGGCTGGAGCCTACTCTGCGTATTTGGTGATCTGGCACTGACCATTAGCTGCTGGAAGGCCTACGTAGCCAGTTCATATGGGCCACAAAGGGATCAGGAAGTCCTTTGTGCATGAAATATTGTGTATTCTTCAGTGCACCCCTCTGTATAAAGGATATCCTGGATAAGAGCTGCTGATAGAGAATGCAGTTCTGATTCCTTGGTAGAACAGTCTCTTCCTTATTAAGGCCGAAGGCAGGGAATCAAATCAAGGTAACATGGTATAAAGGTAACTTGCATCACTAGTGGCCAAAACTGAACAGACCCCGGGGACTTTCCATCTACTTCAGGACCACACAGTTTTTGCAATCCATTGGTAGTTTTCTCTTCCATGAATTTGTCCAATCCTCTTTCAAGCCCTTCCTGCAGAAGTGAGTTCCATAGTTTATCTATGCACTGTCCAAAGTCGCACTTTCATTTGTTTGTCCTGAATCTTTCCACGTTCAGCTTTGTGGGGTGAAATGGCTCCATGGCCACTTCTTAAACCTCGTCAGCCCTTTCCTAACAAACCTTCCGGGCAGATTCCACCCCTGTCTTTCCGCAGAGCAACGCTTTTCAGCTACACCTCTGATCTCCGTGCTTCACGGCGAGCGCTGCGCTGCGGTAGCTTTGCTTTGACAGGTCTCTGGAGGATTTCAAGGAAGTTACACACCCACTTCATTCACGCTAATCGGCTGTTTAACGCAGGAGAGTTCAGTGTTATGAATGAACGCGAGCGTGTTTTGGCTTGCCGATCAGCTTGCAAATATAATGCTCGCTTGTCAAATGAGCAGAGATTCAAAAAAAGAAAAAAGAAAAAGGGGAAGGGGAGAATCCCAGCAACCTTTATGGAAACGGAAATTGATTGAAACCATATTCTCTGAAAGTGAAAGTTCTTTGGGGTAGGGGTGGGGTGGGGGTGGGGTGGGGGACTGCATCCACTCTTCCTTTTAAGTCCCAGCAAAAGTTGCTCCCTGCCCTTGCTGTGGATCTCTGAGTCACCACTCTTGGTGAATGTGGGAGGAAGTGAAACCACAGCCTGTTCTGGAACAAATTTCATGCAGCTGAAGTGAGGTCTTGCTGGGTTTTCAGCATGCTGAACGCTTGGATTTCATTCATATCTTTGGGGAAAGGTTATGATGCCTTATGTTGAGACTGGAGAGGAGTTAGTGAGATGTACAGCACACTGATCATGCGCTGCCCTGAGTTTGTATTAGAGCTCATCTTTAAAAATCCTGAGGATAGATTTCATTTCACTTTTGAATAGCATACCACCTTTCTACATTACTGTACTCAAGGTGATTTACAACTCAAATAAACAACCAAAGTTGCACTGCCGCCCTATAATTGAATAATTCTTCATTCAGTCTGGCCCCCAACTCCCAAATCATTGTTTAGATGTGCTTTTGAAAGGTCTTAAAGTTCCTAGCCCTCATTATGGTCAAGTTGCATGCATGCATAGGAAGTTTCCTTATAACAAATCAAAGCATCGGTCTATTGAGCTCAGTGTTGTCTACTCTGACTGGCAGTGACTCTCCCGGGTTTCAAACAGGGATTTTGCCAATCCCTACCTGGAGATGATGGGATTCCACCTGGGACCTTTGGCATGTGCAGTCAATCACAGAGCCACAACAGCTTCAACATGTGGAAAATAAATATTAATTTAGGTTTCAGCAAAAGCAAGAGCTAGCAAGATCCTGGGGGAAATGATGCCCGCCACATCTACATCTCCCATCAGCCCTAGCCATCATGGCCAATAGCCAGGCATGATGGGAGTTGTAGTTCAGAAACATCAGGAGGGCTAGATGGTCTAGTCCTGTGGAGATGGTCTGGCTTGACCATCATAAACAAGAGTCACCAAAATCAAAAAGGAAAGGCACATCCCTATATGATTCTCAATACCCTATGAGCGAGCAAAAGCCAATTTTGGTCATTGCTGCCTCCAGCCCAAGCTGAAATTTTGGAAAGACTAGAAACACTAAGAAACAGATTGGCTGGGAAGGATGCTCACAATGAGGAGGGCTAGATGCTTTCCATTCCTTGTGCAGAAAGTTTATGTTGAATCAGTAAGCTACAGCCTGACATAAGTCTGTCACTCAATTAAACTGCAGTTCCTTCATCCTACAGGTTCTGATGAATTCTACACAAATGTGCAGTGGATATGAAATAAGAACATATGACAAGCCTGCTGGATCAGGCCAATAGCCCATTGAGTTCAGCATCTTGTTCTCACAGTGGCCAACCAGATGCCTGTGGGAAACCCGCAAGCAGGACTTGAGCACAATAGTCCTCTCCTCTCCTGTAGTTTGCAGCAGCTTGTATTCAGGATCATCGCTGCGTCCAACTCTAGATGCAGAGCACAGCCATCATGGCTAGCACTGCAGTCACTGATAGCTTTCTCCTCCAAGAATTCAGCTAATCCACCTTTACTTCTGTAGAAGAACTATGATTTGTTCTTAGATGCAAATATGTATTGCCACCAACATTGTTTTAGGAAAAGCATTCTATCCTGTATTTGAGAAAAGTAGGGGAGCTTGTTCAAAGATGCTTGTGGTTTTTATAATATTTTTCTAACCACTGTCATCGGGGGTGACATTCTAAATCATTCATTAAAAAGAAAATCCAAGAGGCTGTGAATCAAATGTTGTTGGACGGCAACTCCCATTGTATGACCTTGGGCCATGCTGGCTGGGAATGTCGGAAGTTGTTGTCCAACAAGGAGAGTGTCTCACACTGATAGCGTTTTATCAAAAGAGTGAGTCAAATAACTGGACGTTGGTCTTAGTCACCAAACCATCCAAGATGTGGGAACAAGCCTCCATATCTCATCTCGTCAGGCCCTTATCCAAGTCCATGGAAATCTGACGCAGAGTAGATCATCAATGCAAAGAAAGACCTCAGTCAATTCAACTAAATGCTACTCAGAATAGACACATTGAAATTAATGAACATGATCCGGACTACACATTTAAAGCTGTATCATACCACAGCCAGGACTGCTCCCAAAGAATCTTGGGAAGTGTCATTTGTTCAGGGTGCTGAGAATTGTTCAGAGGCTCCCATTCTTCTTACAGAACTACAGTTCCCAGAGTTCCCTGGAAAGAGGGTTTGATTGTTAAATCATGCTGGGAAATATAGCTCTGGAAAGTGAATGGGGGGGGTGGTCTCCCAACCATAGGAGCCAACTCCTAGGGGTTGTGGGGAATTCAGCCCCTGCAATAAAATATTTGAGGGAGCTGGGCCCCACAAAATTGATGGGCATTGCCATTCAAATGGTGTGTGTGCACTGTGTCATGTGATTGGTTGTGTGGAGTGGGCCCCAAAATATTCAAGTGGGCACCCCTGCTCCCTACAATTCTCAGCACCTGTAACAAACTGCATTTCTAGATCACTGAGTATGTAGTCATAAGGATAGATGCATGTGTGTGTGTGTGTGCGTGTGTGTGTTTTTAAAAGTAAGAAATTTCTTACTAATTTCTTCAGAATTACTGCTCTTAGGTGGAATCAGAGAATGCACACAGAGCGCTGATTAAGCCCCGCCGCCCATTGGCCTTTGCTTCTGGCAACCAACAAAGAAATCAATATCCCTTCCTTCTGATTGCAAACTCAAAGTCTATTCTCCATGGAGCAATTCCCTGATTGCCAATAATGGATGATCTGCTCCTTTCTTCCTGCTCCATCTGCAGGGAGAAGCACGAGCTACCTTGCCAAAAGCGCACAGCCACCTCCCTCCCCACACCACACACACACACACACACACTTGGGCAGACTGTGTCAGCCCAGCCCCAGACTATGCGCTTGATCAAGGCTATTTCTGAGTCATTCCCCAACTCAGCGCTGGTGCATGAGACGCCGACGGGAGGTATCATTTAAGAAATGCAGGCAGGCAAACATTCAGGTGACCTAGATTTTGCAAGCTGAGCCGAGGCTCTGTCTGCTGCAGAGAGACATGAAGCCAAAAGCTACACTGCGGTGGGGCTGTCGCTGTCTCTCCCGAGCAGCGGCTGAAAGGAGGGGAGAGCTAGATGAGCCTTGTCTTGTGCCGGCTTCTTAACTTGATTTCTGCTGTCCCTGCTGGACTCACTGACGTTGCTCTTTCGTCTGGGGAAAGGGAAGGGGGAGAGTCGCCCATATTGCCCATCTGCATATTCTAAATCCCTTTAAAACATGTGCACCTCTAGGCTGCTCCCAATTAACACAAGCCAAACAGCCATGCTGGTCTCCAGCTGAACTTGTCCTTACAGCTTCTCGATTATGTCCCACATCTAAATACATTTGCTTGGAAGCGAGATTGATTTGTTTTGATGGCAAGTGTGCTTTGGATAGCAGCAGCAGAATAATGTCAGGACAACGGGTGGGATACAGAGCTCTGCAAGTAGAGCCCCATGCATGCAATGGGGTGCTCTTGGACCCAACATTTCTCTTCTGGCTGCAGCCCTCGGGGCTTATTGGCAAAGTGCAGGAAGTGTTGGGGTTGCAAGAGGAATGGGGGAACCTGTCTGAAACTGCCTTCTCCCCACCCCACCCCGCTTCCATTTAGGGCCTGGATAGCACAGTTAGTTTAAATGTGGTGCTAATAATGCCATGGTTGCAGGTTTGATCCCCGTATGGGAGAGCTACATATTCCTGCATTGCAGGAGGTTGGACTAGGTGGTACTCATGATCTCTTCCAAATCTATGATTCTATGGCTCTCCTTGGGACCCACACTGAAAGGCATTCATGCAAGGACACCTTTGTGCACCTTGTGACCTTCCAAGTCAAATATAACCCAATAGCCATGCATGATTGCCCAGTAGGGGATCAATGAGCCTCCTGCTCCTGACCCTGGAAGTACAGAATGGAAGGGATCTTTTCCCCCAAGAGCCCCATAACCGCATATAGAGTGATGGATTATGACTCTGCATTCTCATGATTTCCTGCCTCATGATCTGCCTCAAACTTGTATGTTGCCATTTTCCAGCCACTATGGAGGTAAGACCCTTTATAAGATAAGTTGTGCTGCATCAGGCCAAATATCCCCCCAGTGCAACAGTGCAATATCTGGCCACTTCCTACAGTGACCAGCCAGGTGCCCTTACGAAGCTCATAGGCAGGGCATCAGAGCAAAGTCAGCAGCCCTTCAATAAAATTCACCATGATTTCTATGCTAAAGCTAGTTGTACAGGACAATCTGCGCCAAAGTCCACCGGTCAGAATTGTATTTCCTTCTGCATGTTTTTTTGGGGAAAGCTGGTGCATTTTGAATGGGCTCTTTTCTTGCCTAAAATCCTATTGAAGATTAGCTGTTTCTCATGAATTCATGGTTGCTGTTTTAAATTCCCAGGTGCATGGATTCAGAAAGCAGATGTTGCCAGAATGGGTAAGTCAAACACCTTTTGATATCTGGTAAATCTACCTTAGGGGCAGGAAACCCTCTGGGTCTTGAAATCTGGGTATTGGGTACTGAACATGCCTGATCTTAACCCTGGGTCAAGTGTTCTGCATGCTCCCTCCATGATAAAGAAAGCAGTGTAAGGTGAACTGAGAACTCAGACTTGAGTTGCAGGAACCTTGCTGAAGCTCAGGATGTCTGGGCCTGGGCGATGAAAAGCAGGATATTCAAATGATGATGATGAGTAACAACACTAAATAATGATTTCCATAAGGTCCCATTGAAATTGCACCTAAAATTATGTGGAACTCCCTGCTCCCAAGAGATCAAGTTAGCTTTCTCTATCTTTGTGTTCTGATGATAATTGAAAAGTTTCACCGGAAGACAGGAAAGAAGCCTTATACTGAGTCAGACCAATGGTCAATCTAGCTCTACACTGACTGGCAGCAGCCATCCAGGGTTCCAGGTGGAGGATGTTCACAGTCCTACCTGAAGATGCCATTGGAGGTTGAACCTTTCTGCATGCAGAGCAGATGCTTAGACACTCAGCTTTCTCAAACAAGCTTAAACTTCTGCTACTGATGACTGTTAGTGTTACCCTTGATGCTTTTACTGCTGTTTTTTTTTAATAGTTGTGTTATTTTGTGTGTTGGTGATTGAATTATTGGTGATTTTATGTTTGCTTTTTGTTCTCAAGCTGCTCTGAGCAAGTCAGGGGGAGAAGGGGGGGGTTGTACATTTTTTGAATAAATAAATTGAAATGCAAATCCAGAGATTCCTCCTTTGGTGATGTGTATTAAGGAGAGCTGACAGGGCTGGCCTAATATGCATTGCTGCCTGAGGTGGAGCAGGAAATGATTCCTTCTTCCCACACCAAGTCAAGGTGCAGAACGCCCAAGGCCAGCCCAAGCTAAGTTGGCACCTAAGGAGGACAATCCCACAAGCACATCACTCCTTCCTTGAGGCAAATGCCTCACCCTGCCTAATGGCAGAGCTGGCCCTGGGACCCAGATGAGTTCTGGAAGACTCATTGCATTTCTAAAGAAGTGTGTGTGCCTTTCCCCCACACATGCCTTAACTATTATCAGGTTTTGCGTAACATGGAAGTTTGAAGTGAATTCAAGGAATATCAGGAAAAACATCAACGAAATTTCAGAGAGGAAATAAGACAGCCAGCAAAATTTATTCTCACATCCTTTAACTGCAGGTCAGGCACATCAATATCTGCATTTTGCCTCTCCTCCTATCCTTAGAAGCTGCAAGACTGTCCATCCAAGTTGCAGATACAGAAAGATCCCCAAACTGAGCAGGCGCAGACAATCTTGTAGACTTCAGAGCACCTTCAATGTTGCCCTTTTCAATATTGTTTGTGGTATGGACAGCACAAGTCTGTGGTGTGTGTGTGTGTGTGTGTGTGTGTGTGTTTGTTTTAACAGACAGAAGTCAGTTTTTGATCTTCATTACATGTGGACAGTCTTGGTGTGTGGACCAAAACAGTCACTCCAATTCACCATCCTATTTGCAGGAGATGAACTGGGACAGCCATCTGGCATCTGGGGGGGGGGGCGGGGGGCGGAGATTCAAACCCACAACATGCTTTTGGAGGGGAGGGAGCTTAGCATTGTAAGAAAATCCCTGCTGGATCTGACCAAAGACCTCCTAGCATCCTATTCTCCTAGTGTCTAACCAGATGCCTATGGAAAGCCCAAAACCAGGACCTGGGTGCAACAGCACTCTCCCTGTTTGTGATCCCCAGCGACCTAATATAGGTAACAAAGCATAATTATTCTTCAGTTATTCTTCTAAACCTCGGCATAAAATACATTCAGAATTGTCTATATTTAGATAAAATATTATGTGATAAAGTGCATTTTAAGCAGTATTTAGATATTAATTTTAGGATGGATTTTGTTTTTTGTTTTTAAAAAAACACAGAGACAAATGTGAAAATGCATGTGAAATTAACATAGACTCAAAATAGACTCATTAGCCCTTTCCTAATTATACTCCTACCCCCCTTAATCTGTTCTGATAGAGTAGATTTGGGGAGGGCACAAGGTGTGTCTGGGTTGTTGTGCAAGTGGAAATGCTTGTGGGTACTGCCCATGATGAATAAATATTTCCTTGGTGGTCTGGCAGTCAGAATTGCACCTGCAACGTGATTTGCTGCTTGTAGGGGGCCCACAAGGATATTCACTGGTGGTAGGAATATATTGGCTTACGCTTCCTCCAAAGTGCTCAGAGCAGCTTCCATCTGGTTCCCAGGTGGTCCCCCAGCCAAGCAGGGTACATGGCCAGGCTTGCTTAGCTTCAACAATAGAACTGTTTCATGAGCCTTCAGACCATCATCTGGTCATATCCTACATCTCACATTCAAACTTTATGAGCTCATATGTGTAGGTGCTTTGGAGGATGTATCAGACATCTTTTGGACCACTTCCTGATCCTGTTAGCGTGTGTGGTGTTAGAAGTAGGAGGAGCTCAATTACAATTCTGAAACCCCAGGAGGTTCAATAGGGTGAAGGTTGCGGCTGTTTCCCTTCCACGTGCACACATTTTCCAGCTGCTTCCAGCTAGCTTTCCTTCTCCCACCTAGACAGGGATGTCCTCTGCTTGGTAGAGAAGGCAGTCTTACCTGTGGTGCTTCACTGACTCCTGTTCAAGGCTCAGAATTGTGTGGGGCTGCCATTCAGTGGAAAGACTGGGCAGCGTAAGGCTCATCTTGCAGTTGGGCACCACTGCATCCAATAAAGATGCAGTGGAATTTTCCGTACTTAGAGAAGATCTGATAAACGCAAGGTCAGGACAGGTAGATAAGGCAGCGGGATGAAGAACAGATCACAAGGCATCTGGGCTCCAAGTGAAGGCAACTCTGAATGTTGCTCCAAGGTCAATCAGTAGAATATTGACCTTGGACCTCCATCAGTAGATGGAGACATTGTGGGAGGGAGGTGGGTGAACTTGACTTCAGATCCCTGGAGAAGTCAGCCCACACTTAAGGAGCAGGCCTGGATCAGGATCCAGTGGATGCAGGACTAATTCAGCTCCCTGCCGCTCCCTCCCTGCCCAATGCTGTGGCTTTCTGTGGACCACCATTACAGCATTTCCACCTGCTCATTCAGTGGGTGGAATGAGGGATGCCTCTGCCCTTCAGCCCAGCGCAAAGAGGAGCTGGATTGAAGCCTGGGTTGCATTCTTCAGCTGTGTCTCTTCCATGGTAGTGAAGCTGGGATGTCAGGAGCTGAGGGATCCTCTGGACACTGGAAGAGAGACATTTTCAGGGGTCAGTGGAAAAGGTCTCATGGCCCCAGGAGATGCTTCTTTGTGATCTATGGAGATCTTACAGGAGAGCTCACTCCTGGGGCAGAGGATTGCCGCAACTCTTGGGGCCATCTTGAGATGAAGAGATATTTGACTCTAGATCCTGGGCCATTTGTCACATTCCACTTCCCCCCTGTGCTGAGAATATTTCTGTCAAGGGAAATTGCAGCATATTGTGTAGCCTTTGGCTATAGCTGTTAGTGGAAGCCCACCATAGCAGAGCACATTTCTTTGCATGCAGAAGGCTCCTCCTTTCATTCTTCTGCTAAAAAGCATTAGTATAAAGCTCAGTATAAAGCAGCTTCAGAGATTCAGAAAGCCACTTGATGCCTTTTCAATTCCAGCTGGGAGAGGATTGGAGACTATCTACCTGGACCACAGTGCTTTGGTGAGAGGAGGGCAGACTTCTGTGCCCCTCCTTCTCTTCAAGGAGCTTTTCAAATGCTACACAATTCCTACCTGAGAAAGTCTCTCCATGAACAAAATAGACAGGCAACTAACACCCTTGTGTAGACCATCTTGTGCAGGCATGTTGTGTGCTGCAAGGTCATGCACCAAGAACCTTCCATTAAGTGTTCTGCTTTAGGGTTATTCTTGTTGAACCTCATTTATCTTAGAGTATTATGGATGCAGCTGGGTGAAAGTTCAGCAATGATAATAAAGCAAAGCCTGCAATGGTGGCAGCAGGAAGATGCATGTATGGCAGGGGCGAGGAGCCGCTGGACCTCTCTCTCTCTCTCTCTCTCTCTCTCTCGTTATTGGAACTGTTCCCAGGCCACCAAAACTTTCCCCAGCCCCAAGTAGCAGTGCTTCACACCCTCCTTCAGTGTTTTTGCTTGGCTAGAAATGTGTCCTTGAACTCTGATAATGGCTCTCTCTCACCTGGATGAAGGACACAGAGGAGGATGTGTAGAAACCAGCCTACTGTTCAGGGGTAAAATTTACGTTTGTTGCTCAGCCCACTTTTACTTCTGCTCCTCCCACAACTGTCATGTGGTCCCCAGAAGGCTTCTCAGAAGTGAACGTGTCTCACGGGCATAAAAATGATTCCCACTTCTAATATATGGCCATTAGCCATGAACAACTGAGGGACAAACACTGAAATGACACAAAATATGAAGAGCGATGTTCTGGCCTGTACACACCTGAATATTCATTTAATCTCCACCCCCCCCCCCAAAAAAAAATTCCCTCAATTATAATCAGGGTTCTGTTTTTTTGTTTTTGTTTTTGCCTTGGGGCAATCTCGGGAGTCCCGCTAAACTAAACATAACACAATTATGCTTTAAAGAGGCTATGGTGGAGTGAGTTGGAAGACCTGATATTTTTGGAAAGAAAGCAGAATGGCCAGAGAGATGATGATGACGAGGGGCGAACAGGGTGTGCTTTCTTAAGAAAGCAAAACCTTAGTGATGTAGTTCCCCCAGGAGCATGTACAGTGCCATTCCTCAACTCGGCCACCACTGAAAAGGGGAAATTAAGAATTCCCGACACACAACGTGGTTAAGAAAAAAGGGAGGGGGAGAGAGAGAGAAAAGCTGAAAGAAAGAAAAGAGAAGCTGGCTGTGACTGTGTATTGAAAGAAAATGTTAATTTCAGCCCTGGACATACGTATTTAAAAAAAGGAAAGAAAGAAATCCAACTGTTCATTCCTTTTCCTGGCATTGATATTCCTGTTTGCTGGAGGTGTTTGACATGGGAAGGAATGGTTTGTTGGACAAGGCATTCAACGCCCTCCCTCCAGAAATGTCCCTAGTTTGGGGTGGTGGTGGTGGGCTTGTTAGACACTTTGATTTTTTTTTACAGTTAATGTTCCCCCTCCCCTGTCTCCAAGGGCCAAAGTATGACCATATATATATATATATATATATTATATATATATATATATATATATATATATATATATATATCTCACAACATACACATCCAGCCTCACTATGCCGAGGGAAGGAGTTTCATTTTGTGACCGAGAAAATGCTAGCGGTATAGGCTGAGTTCTACATTGTTAGATTTGGCAGTGATTCAGCTGCTTTCAACATCTGCCAGGGAATGTGGGATCTTGTTATAAGCAGAGAGAGAGAGAGAGAATGAGAATTAGGGATGCATTCAGCATATGCCTGAGCACCACTTCCTCTTTATTCCCTCATTTTGCTCGGCTCCTTATTTTTTCTACTCGTACCTCTATATATTCAAAACTGAGGGATTCTCCTCCACCCTTTCCCCACCTCCTTTACCTTCTCCTCCTTGTCTCTGCTTCTTCCTTTTTCTGTACATCTCTCTCTCTCCCTCTCTCTCCCTTAACTTGTTAAGTTTGAAAGATGATATATACACACAGTTTGCGATGCCAGTCAGCACCGTTAAAGGCCAAGATTAATGCAATGGATTGGTGCGGCTGTGTCGCAGTGGAGCGTGATCAGAATACGAGATGGAAGATAGGGGGAAAGGGCAAGAAAGTGCTGGTGCTCAGAGTTTGTACAAGTCTCCTTAGCAACTTGTCTGACATCTTTTTTTAAAAAAAGAAAATGTTGGTGGGGAGGTGTGCAGAGGCTCGTGTATGTACACAGATCTCCCCCAAACCACCCGTTTAATAAAACATTCCTTTCATTTTGAAGCAGTGCTGTTTTCCAGCTACTCTCATGTTCTTTGGTTCAATTACTGGATTAAATTAGTTGTCTGAGAGACGGTTATTGGGGGGGGGACGTGCTGTGCGCGCAGGGAAATGGGAGGGGGCGCTCAGTACTTTTTCATTCAAAGAAACCGCTACAGAGTTGGATTCTTCCCAGTTATTCCAATTTGGAACAGTGATTCCTTGCCTCCCCAACCCCTCCGGCCCCCTGGCCTATTCCACAAGCTACAGAATCATCAGCACCCTGCCATTTGTACAGTAATTTGGGACACATTTGAAATATTATTTTTAGAACCAAACTTGTAAAACAAAAGATAATATTTTGGGGCAAGATTTCTCTCTCTCTTTCTCTCTCTCTCTCTCTCTTCCTCCCAAACCCCTCCCATTTCTCCCCCTCCCACTTTTTCCCCCCCCCTTCCCTAAACTTGACAGCTGAAGAATAAACCCCTATAGGAGGGAGTGGCTTGATAGTGATGAAGGTATGTGACTCCTTTTTTTGGGGGGGGGGAAAGTTGCGTATTACTATGTTAATACTGTGGGGGCTAAATTTGAATTTGGTGTAAGAAAGCAGTCTTCTAGAGATATGCT